GGGTCCCGGCAGGTTGTCACTGCAAGAGGGATTGACCAATGGTGACGGTGGCCGGGGACACACTGCAGGGCAGGGGGACACCGGCGGGCCACTCACCCCGCTCGCAGGAGGGCAGGTCACCACTCCACGTCAGGTCCCAGTGGCACATCAGGAGGTCAGTGCCGGTCAGCTGGAAGCCAGGGTAGCAATGGAAGGTGACCACAGTGCCATGGAGAAGCTCCGGCTGCGAGGACGTCTTCCAGCCATTGGCAATTTCTGGCAGCTCGGGGCAGGTGTCGTTGCGGGGGACCTCTGTGGGGATGGAGGGGTGAGCAGGGCAGTGGGGACAGCAGGGACACTCGTGACACTGTCCTGCCAGTGGGGCTCACCAGAAAAGTGGATGACAAAGCCCTGTCGATAGGCGAAGGGGCCGGCACCGGGGTCAGACTGGAACTGGACGGTGACGTCAGCGGTGGAGGCGTAAAGCTTGAAGCGTCCGCGGGCACCCGTGTACTGGCCCAGGATTCGCGCCGTCAGGTCGTCCCCGTCATAGAAGGTCAGCATGTCCCCCGAGCCAAGCCGCAGCCTGGGGCATTGGGGCCATGAGGGCGGGAGGTGCATGGACCCCCCCATCCCACCATCCCCATCCCGGGCCATCCCCACACTCACACGCGGACATCCAGCATGATGCGCTTGTCCTCCTCCACGTGCAGCCCCCAGATGCAGTCCTGGCCCTTGCCATACGCCTCTGGCCAGTTGGGTGACAGCACCACACCAGCTGTGTCTGTCAGCTCCCCGCTGCACACCGCTGTGGGCAGACACCGGGCTCGGCACCGCCACGGGGCACCCACCACAGCCCCCTCCACCCAGTGCCCAGGACCCAGTCCAGCACTTACCATCCCCACTGGCTCCAGCTCAAGCACGCGCCATGATATGGTGGTTCCAGCACCCATTGTAGCTCATCCCTGTCTCCAGCACCCACCATTCCCATTGTCTCCAGCTCCCACCATGTCCCTCAGCTCCAGCAACAACACGGTGGCTCCAGCATCTCTCATGTCCCATCCTCAGCTCCAGCGTCCACAGCAACCCCCAGCCCCCGTGGCACCCTCCAGCCCCGACACCCATCAGACCTCCAGTTTCAGCCCCCCTGGCCCCCCAGTCCTGGCACCCACCACGGCAAGCTGGTTCTGTCTCGTTCCACTGGGGGTCACTGGGGTCAACGCACTCGATGATGGTGGAGCCCTGCTCCAGCGTGTAGCCGGGGTCACAGCTGAATTCCACTGTGGTGCCCACAGGGTACCGGGGATCGCTGGCCGTGAAGTTCCCATACTTGACGAAGGGCTCATAGCAATGCCCCTGCTCGAAGGCTGTGGGCACAGGAGCGAAGGTCTGCAGGGGCCAGGCAGGCACAGGGATGTTTGGGTGCCCCCCTAAGCCCCGGCCCCATACCCTCATAGCGCAGTGCCATGCCCGCAGCAGCCCCGCTGCTGTCGGTGGTGAGCTCCACGAAGAAGTGGCGCCCAGTGCTGAGCAGCCCCTCGATGGGCAGGTACTCCACCTCGTAGGAGTCGTACACTGGTGGTGCCTCCACGTTGTTGCCATTGCGGATGATGAGCCTGCCAAGGCATGACAGGGGCAGGGTGCTGTGGTGGCCATGGCCAACAGCACCATCCTTGGGCATGGTGAATAGCACCCACCCTTGGGCATGGCCAGTGGTATCTTCCTTGAACGTGGCCAGCAGCACCCATCCTTGACTGTGGCTAATGGCCAACAGTGGCCACACCTGGCCAGCTACAGCCATCTTTGAATATGACCAATGGTACCCATCCCTGGTCGTGGCTGATGGATTCCATCCCGGGATATGGTCAGTGATACCCATCCACAGGCATGACCAGCATCCCCCATCCTTGAATATGGCCAACAACACTCATCCTTGAACACAGCCCTGTGCGGGGCTGCCCCAGAGTGCCCCCACCCCTCAAGCCCCCCAGCCTCAGGGCCAAACCTGTCATCGTCCTCTGCCAGCGACACCTTCTCAAAGTGGAGGTGCAGGCGGTGGCCATCAGGCGCCTCCAGTAGCCAGTGGCATGTCAGGTTGTTGCTGTAGTTCCCAGGGAAGCCGGGCGAGACGATGCGTCCCACTGTGGCATTCCGGACTACCCCGCCGCACGCAGCTGCGGGAGAGGCACCATCAGTGGCCAACTGTGCCGTGCCGGCTGTGCCGTGTCCCCACGGTGCCGGTGCTTACCGAGGCAGAGGGGCTCACGGGCGCTCCAGAAGGGGCGGGTGGCGTTGCGGCAGAGCAGCCGGCGGGCACCCTGCAGCTGGTACCCCGTGGTGCAGCGGAAGCGGGCGTCCCCACCGGGGTGCAGGCTGCTGACAGAGACCTCCCCGAAAGCCGGCCGTGCCGGGAAGGGGCAGCTCAGCAGGTAGGCTGGGGGCAGGTGGTGATGTTACCAAGGGCAGGGGGGCAACATACCCCTCCAGATCCCAGCACCCACCTCCCCAGCCCCCCACAAAATGCCTGGGTGCTGCAGGACTGGGTGACATGGTGCTATGGCTGCCAGGAATTATGCCAAATGAGCCTGTAATTGCTCACACCAATTAGCTCTCCGTGAGTGTTCTTCACCCGGTCAGTGCCCCCTTAAACCTGCCAGTGGCACAGATAAACTCGTGGTGCATGACCACACTCCAAGTTAGTGCCATGTCAGTAGGGAAGGCCCCCAGGGGCTACAGGGGAGTCTCTGTTCCTATACCTTGGTAGTGAAAGTGGTAGGATCCAGGGCTGGGGGGCCGGGGACTCTGGAAGCGGAGGGTGAGGAGGTTGGCTGGGCTGCGGATGACCTGGCCCCGCAGCAGGAAGGACTCGTTGGCCAGGAGGATGGGCTCCAGGCCTCCTGCACTCTCCACTGTCAGCGTCTCCCCCTCTGCCAGGCTGATGTTCTCCACCTGCAGGGGACACAAGTGTCACCACCAGAGCATCACCCCACATCCAGCTCGGAGCTGGTCCTTGAGTGGCTTCTCCATGGTCGATAGTGCACTGGAGCTTGTCTGCACAGGGCAGCACCTTTCAAACATGGTTAGCAGCACCATAAATCATCCTCCATGCCAAGAGAGGCTGGCACCAGCCAGCAGCCCTGCTGGAGCACCATGACACAGCCAGACCCACGCCGACAGCCTCGTCCACAGCCAGGTGTATGTGTGTTCCAGCCCCTTGGAGCAATTTGCTATTAATGATCTTAATTAAGCTGTGCTGCATGGTGAGGAGCAGCAGCACTGGTGAGTGTGGGCTGGAGTGAGGCTGATGGTGGAGATGCTGCCTTTGGCTCACCACCAGCTTTCAGCAAGCCACGGCACTGCCCCGCGGCACCTTCAGCAGCGGGTCCAGCAGAGACAGGGACACATGGCCACGTGCCGCTGACAGCAGCAGCATGTGCCCTCAGCACAGCAGGATTTGCTGTCAGCCTCTGCTCCTGGCAGATGGGCTCTGGGCGTTCCTGGCTCTGCACCACAGCACGGCACCTGCCGGCATTGCTTACACCTTCTCCATCAGGGCTTCGTTAATTAAATCTCACAGCACTTCTTTGTGATGGGTGCCAGCCACGGCAGCTGGTGGGCACGGAGCATCCTGGGACATCCCATCAACTCATGCACCCACATTTCTGCGCTGGAGCCTGAGGATGGGCAATGCCCTGAGCCACTCTGCTGGCTTAGGGACACAGGAATGGGAACAAGGACATGGACAAGACCATGTGCTTGCTGCACCCTGCACAGCCACACAGCCATGGCAGGGAGCAGGGCACATCCCACACTTGTCTGCAGGCACTTGGCACCCTGTCCCACCCGCAGCCCTCAGCTCACCTTGAGCTCCACACCATAGCCAGGGTAAACAGAGATGGTGTAGGTGCAGTCCAGGCTGCCATCATAGGGGACACCAGCTGGCTCCGGGGACACCAACCAACCCTCAGGACCCGCCAGCGTCCGGTTACAGGGAGCTGATGACAGACAAGATCCCAGCTCAGTCGCACTTCACCCCAGTTCCCCCCAGCTTCCTCCCCAGTACTCACCTGGCCCCTGCAGCGTGGTGACAGTGGTGGTGGTGATGGTGGAGGTGGTTGTGGTTCCCTCCTCATCCCCAGGCACCACAGCAGCCCCAGTGCGGGGTGCCAGGGATGTTCCAGCAGTGGTGGGTGCCTGGCTGGGGGATGCAGTGCCTGACTCTGACACCCCAGGGGGGGACCACGAGGGATCAGCATCTGGCACAGCCCCCCACGCCTCCCCCCATGGCCCGGAGCGCCCTGCTGGTGTGGTCAGCGGGTCAGTGGGGAAGGCAGGCCGAGGCAGGGCAGGGGTGTGAGGTGAGGGCT